GGCTAACTACGTAGACCGCTACGTTAGCCGCTACCCGGCCTTCCTCCCGCTTTAACCGTCGTACGGTTCTTATAAAGATAGAGGTAAGGACTTCTTATACCGAGCATAAAGCTCGTATACTTAGTCCTACGCCTATAGAACCGTCGTCGTAGCGGACCTACCGTTACGTAGGCCTAAACTATAGCTTCTTTTAGTATAGAACTAAGTATAACTCTATATATAATAACTAAGGTTTCCCGAGGATTAAGGGAAACTCTAGTTAAGGGATTATATAGGCTACGATAAGCTTACGGTAACCGTCGACCTCTATAGCTAGCTACGTAATGCCCTAATTACTGTACTCTATCGCGCTTTAAGGCCCTTTACCGCCTTAGGCGATCTTTCTACTAGCACTTATATCTCTCGTAAGCGCCTCGTTAACTACGGCGTAGTACTAGCAGCCCCGTCTATAAGGGCGGCGACGGGTAGGAGTTATTAACTATAACCTATATTAAAGTAGGCCCTCTTTATACGGGCGGATAACCCTTCTCCTTTACTAGTGCTAGTAATTAGGCCCCGAGCCCGTCTCTACTCTAGCTACTTTTTTCCTCTAGGCCTAAGGGACCAGAGTCCTCTTCGTCGTTCCGCAAGGAGCGGTTCTATCTTACTACTCAACTACTATAGGCCGCTTAGCTAAAAGGAAGGGGTATTTTAATATAAAGTATATAAACGCGCCGTAACGTAGGTAGCGGCCGTTAGCCTTCCTTTTCCTAATTTCCTCGCTTATTACCTACTTCGCCCGCTACTTAGAGAGCGGGATAGTATAGGGGATATTCGAAGACGACTTCTTACCGCGTTTAGCTTAGTCCGTATAGGTAGCCGATATTAAGGTATCTCCGTTAATATTAATAGTCGGCTATTCCTCTTATAGAGGGGCGGTAATCCCGTTACCGCTATATAGCGTGCGCTTATAAAGCTTCTAGAAACGTAGCGTCTACTTATAGCCCTATACTACCTTTATTAACCGGCTTATATACTCGCTATAGTTAGTAGGTATAATTATAGGGATAAGTAGCTCCCGTAGGGCTAGCGTAATTAAGTTCTATAACTATAAGTTTCGCTATCTTCCTATACTATAGTTCCCGCTGCTCGTAAGAGCGTCTTTAAAGTTAGGAGGAATTCGCAAAGGTCTACCCGTCCCTCTACTTAAGGGTCCGTAGCCTATCCTACGCCTTCTCCCGCTCCTATACGTTACCGAACGTATATATAAGGTATTAGAAGAAGTCCTACGGGTCGCGTCTACCTCTAGGGCCGCCCTTATCTTAGAATCTAGAGATCCGCTATATCTAGGGCTCCGGCAGCGTATAGAGGAGCGAATACCACGCTATATTATAATAGCCGTTTAGGCCCTATTTCTCGTCTATTATAAACTTCGTCTATAGCCGGCTAAGGAAGAAGTAGAAGGACTTAGGCTTACTATCCTAAGTTAGCTAGGGAAGCGGCTTCCGTATCGGTAGTACCGCCGCCGTAACCGGTATTACTAAGGTCGTAGGGGTTAACGCTAGTCTTATAGACGGCTCCCCTAGTATAGCGAGAACCTCGTTCTTCTCGCTAGCCGTCGCGCTTCTAATCGCTTCTAGGATAGCTATAATACTTCCTATCCGCCTAGGGTAGCGGGTGCTTAGGAAGGCACCTTTCTAGGGAGATATCTATTAGATCTATTAGTTAATAGCTTATACTATCACGGAGTAGGTAGAGGCGTATACGTAGGTGCCGTCCGTAGGATAATATTAATAAGCTATATAGAGCTCTTCTATACGCGGCTAGCCCGCCCCTATACTTACGGGATCCGGCCCTCCGTACGTAACTACACGGCTTAGGCCGTGGCCTAAGCCTATTACCTATAATAGTTAAAGACTCTTATAGCTTTCCCTTTTTTATAAAGATAGAATCGACGACTATCGACGGCCTTTCTTACCTTTATATATTAAACTTCGATAGCGAATCTAAGAGTATTAGTAAAGTAGCTAACTTCCGATCTTATTACTTACTACTATCTTATATAGGGGGGTATAGTAGTTTATAAGGAAAACTCTTTATCTCGTATAAATATATACTTATTCTCTTAGTATATACTTCTCTAGCGAAATTACGAGCTTATCGCTAACCTAGACCTCTAAGGGGACCCTCTACTATAAGCTCTCTAAGCCTAACTTTAAGACTTTATATAAGAAGACGTTAAAAATATCTAGTCTTTATATACGCTTTACTTCTTCGTTTAAATTAGTTGTCTTTCTTAAATATAGCGTATATAGTACGATAGGCCGCTTTTAAGGGCTTATAGCGATACTACTTAGTCTAGTAATAGGGTCGTTATATAACCTTAAGCGGTATCCTTTTAGTTATTAGTTTTATCTTAAGGGGAAAGGCTTAGACTTACTTAAAAGAAATATAAAAGAGAACTATTGCTTATATAAGAAGCTAAAGAAATACGTTCCTCTTTCTTTACCTTATCTTATATATTTAGCTAGTTTATACGAGGCGAAGGGAGAGAAGAACTTAAGAATAAAGGAGATTCCTCTTCTTCCTTTACCTTATTTTACTTTCTTCTCTTTCGCTAGTTCGTATATATAAGAGTTAAGGAATTATAAAGTTAAAAGTTAATCTAGACTTTAATCTTACTATTAGAGATATTCTACTTATACTTCCTATCTTATTAGAAAAGCTTATATACTATACGATCTATATCTCTAAAAGGGGTAAGGAGCTTATTAAAGCTACTCTTCTTATTCTAAGACTTACTAAGTTCCTATAGAATCTTCTTATTAAATTACTTTATAAAGCTCGGTCGTATATATCGCTTAATTTATTATTTTTTAGTAATACTAAAAGGTTCTTTAAAATCGGATAAGGAGAGTAGTAGAAGGTTAATAGTATCTAATAAAGGTTAAAGAAAAATATTTATTATAAGGGATTATATATACGAAGCTATATAACTTTTAGTAGAAGAAAGAAGTCTTCTTTATACTCTCTAAGAGAGAGTAGGCTATAAAGTCGAATCGGCAAGCTAGTAAGATAGTCGTACGGGCTAGCTTCCTTAGTAGTATAAGTAGTATTAAACGCCTCTTATACCTTTACTTAGAAGTTCTTCGTAAAGTTTATTATATAGTCTCGTTTAGAAAGAGAAGAAGAGCTTAAGGTTCTTAAAGGAAGAGGGCTAAAGACTTAAGAGGATAATATAGACGCTATATAATAGGGACTTCCTTCTATAGTAAGGTTAATAGTCTCTAGCTAAGAGACTACGTAAAATAGGTAGTAGATAGATTATAGAAATATATTCTAAATTAAGTAATAAAGGCGCTAAGATTTCGGGCACTTCTCTTAGTAGAAATAAGGCGGCATTATATATAACGAAAAAATAGAAAAAAGAAAAGGAAAGGAAAGAAAAGAAAAAAAGGAAAGAGGGAGGAGGAAAGAGGGGAAAAGAAAAAGGAGAAAAATCTTACTTTACTATATAAATAGAATAGCACTATATATTCGTATAAAAGTATAATATATAGTCTTCTTATAATAAAGCTATTATTAATACGAGCTATTCTCTTATTCTATTTACTACGACCTACTAGCTAGTAGGTCGTATGCCTTAGGTATTACCTACCTATTTAATCTATGCTCGCGTATATAAATTCCTTTTCTTCTTTTTATTATTACTAGTAGTAGCAATAATAGTAATAGTAATAGCAATAGCAATAATAATAGTAGTAATAGCATTAATAGTATTACTACTATAAGCGCGTACGTATCTCTTTCCTTAGCTCCTTATACGTAGTAAGTTACTAATATATTTATATAAAAACGCTAATAACTAGCTTATCTACTAAGGCGCGCCTCCTTAAGTAAGTAAAACCTCTTTAGCACTTACCTTCTTATATAAGACACTAACTTTCTTAAGGCACTCGACTAGGATCTCGTACGCGAGCTCCTACGAAGACCGCGCCTCCTCGAGGTCGACGTAAGTAGGCAGCAACTCCGGCCATACACGAAAAATATAGTATAGCGCGCTATCCTTAACCTACCTAGCCGTCGCGTTATTTTCCTCTATAAGCGCGTACGACTAAAGTAGGTTATAGGTATAAGGGACTTATACGTAAACGCCTTCCTTATCTAAAGTCGAGGCGTTCTCTATCCCTATCTATATAAATCTTGCTAAAATAAGATAATTATAGATAGGGACGCGTACGTAAGTCCCTTTCCCTACTATATTCGCCTCCCGGGCTACTTCGGTGGCTACTACGGCAATTATAAGTGGCCGGATCGCGCTGCTCGCTGTTCCGAAGGAGATCCTTAGTTTCTACCTAGCGTACGAGGCGCCCTTATGTCCGGTTCCCGAGAGCAGCCGATCTTAGTCGACGAGGCTCCGGGGTCCTCGTCTGGCTAGGCGATTTTGCTGCTCGAGGACGGAACCGCGGACGACCTAGTCGTCCTCTAGAAAGGTACGTATAAGTATTTCTTTATCTATAATAATAGGTAGCGGGCACCTATAAAGCCTTAGCTAAGTAGCCTTGTGTAGAGGTATTAGTTAGGAAGTCCTAGCTAATCTAGAACGACGACTGGCACCTTCTCGTGGTGTTCTAGGTTAGTAACCTTAGCTCGTACGAGCCTTAGGGTAAAGCAAAGACTAGTTAATTACCCGCGTATAAATAGCTTTATTTTTTTTATATATATACGAGAATCTTACTAGGAACGATATATAAATAAAGTGGTATAGTAATTTAGTGGGTTTAGGTTTTGGCATACTTTGCGGACCTTAGCTAATGTGCCACCGTACCAGAGCCCAAACTGCTACCAAGGGTGAATACCCTTGCAGCCACCGCTCGTTGGATCCCTACAGCAGCCTTCGCCGGCCCTCTAGCGACGACCCTTGAAGCTGACCTCCGACAACCTCATCCATCAAAACCCTCAGTCTTGGCCCTTGACCCGCGAATCCTCGCCCTCGTCATGCTTCGAGTCCTCTCGCCACCATGACCACCGGCCGCTCTCCCTCGTCGTCCGCCCTGCTCCCCATGCCCGGCGCGCCCTCGTCCTCGTGGGCCGTCTACCGCGCGCGGCTGAGTACTCTGCTGCGCCATGCCGACACCAGGACTCTCGTCGCCTTTTGGCTCCTCGGTGAGCTCCTCGTCTGCCCTATCCTGTCTCAAGAATCGCCATGACTGCCAAAGAACCCCGACGGCTGACTCCTCGCCAGGCCTCATCAACAACATCTTCTACGTCATCATCCTCTCCGCCGCCCAGGACCTCGTCGGCTCCCTCCCAAAGGGCATCGTCCTCCTCGCCGACGTCATGCCCTCCTTTTTCCTCAAGCTCGTCGGGCCCTACTACATCCACGCCGTGCCCTACCGCCTCCGTGTCCCCGTTTTCATCGCCCTCGCCTCCGCCGGCATGCTCATTATTGCCCTTGCGCCCTCGTCCCAGTCCGTCAGCTTTAGGCTGGCCGGCGTCGTCATGGCCAGCCTGAGTAGCGGCGGCGGCGAGCTCAGCTTCCTCTCGCTCCTCCACTACTACGGTCGTGGGGGCCTTGTGGGCTGGGGGTCCGGCACGGGGGCTGCTGGTCTAGTCGGCGCCGGCCTGTACGAGGTCATGACCGAGTGGTGGGGCTTCGGCGTCCGCGAGAGCTTGCTCTTCTCCGCCTCCCTGCCGGCTCTGATGCTCGTCAGCTTCTTCTTCATATTGCCTCAGGAGCCGCTTCGTCGCATCCAGAACCGCAGGGGATACGAGGCCGTACCTCACCGGGAGGCGGCGGCCGACGACCAAGCCCACCACCAAGTCAACGACGCACCCCCCGAAGCCGCACCCTCGGCGCTGCTCGCTCCACCGGCGTCGGCGGTCGATGTCTCCCCGGCACACGAGACGCCCAAGTCGCATTCGCTCAGGGCGAACCTGCGGCGCGCAAAGTCGCTGTTCGTCCCGTACATGATGCCTCTGTTTCTGGTCTACATCGCCGAGTATACCATCAACCAGGGCGTTGCGCCAACCTTGTTGTACCCGGTCAAGTCGTCGCCCTTCCGACACCTGCGCAGCTTCTACCCCTTTTACGGATTCCTCTACCAGCTCGGCGTCTTCATCTCTCGATCATCCGTGTCCATCGTCCGCATCCGAAACCTGTACTTGCCTTCCTATCTCCAGGTGGGCAACCTGGCCCTGCTCACGCTCCACGCCCTCTTCTACTTCATCCCCTCCGTCTACATAGTCTTTGCCATCGTCTTGTGGGAAGGCCTTCTCGGAGGCTGCGTCTACGTCAACTGTTTTGCCGAGATTCTCGAGAATGTACCGCTAGAGGACCGCGAGTTCAGCCTGGGGGCGGCCACCGTGAGCGACAGCGCGGGCATTTGCACCGCCGGGTTCCTGAGCATTGCGCTGGAAACCAACCTCTGCGACTACCAAGTCGCCCATGGACGGGATTGGTGTCGGAGAATTCAAGCCAAGAATGCGTGATGAAAGGGCTGGCGCAGTGTATGCACGTGCCCTGAGCATGCATGTGTGACTTGTCCTGCACGCACATCTGGACGTGTATGTACGTCGATACGAGCCGTTGCACCACAGGAGCTCATATCAGCATGTGCCATCGCGGAGCCGTCCCCTGCTCTGACGTTGCGGCCGCCTTTGCCCACGTGCGGATGAGCGCAAAACGTGGCAGAGAGCTTACTGTGCTAGCCGGGCATCTGGCCGATGGGCGTGGACGATCTGGGCTTCCCGGGCTGAGATGGCGTCGTCAAGCCCTGCATCAGCCTTGCCCACGTTTGTGCCTGTCGGCCAGGTCTCTGCCGCAGGCGCCGCCGATGAAACCACACGCAGATGGCTCTCCATTCCCTCACGACCCGCACTCGCAGCCAGCCGTAATCAGCGCGGCTCACGAGTCCAAGCCAGTAGTCGAGGGGTCGGGCTGTTCGCTCGCCCTTGCGCTCGAGCATGTTCGAAATCGAAATTTCAGGTCAAGGGCGCCAACAAAGTTGACGAAGAGAAGAAGCTGTCGCCGGTGGGTTCGGCGTCTTTGAGAACGGAAGGCATCCTGGCTGGCTCACAGAGAACATTGTCGTCGAGCAGAGTGGGCCGGGACATGCCCAAGGGCGGGAACCGTTGGACATTTACGCCGATCACCAGCTGTCGGTCCAGGAACATGGACTGGAAATGATGGCCGAGGGCGACTCTAGGGGTGCCACGGGGCGAATGTGGATTGTCGGGAGGCCGACGCTGCCAACGACCGAGGGAGACAGTCTGGAGCATGAGGGTGCGATGAGCTCTACGTGAGTGGGTTTGTCGACATGGCGTCATGGTTCAGGTTGGGGACTTGGTTCACCGCAAATGGGAGAATGCGAAGCGCTCGGAGGAGTGAGCGTCTTGTTGGCCGCGCGTGTCGTGGAGCAGTGCTGGAGGCTGACGACGACTTGTTTTGCCCGTTGGGCACATGGCCCGTGCTGGGGGAGTCTCGTTTGACGACGTGTAGAGTCACGATGTGGCCGCAGGTGGCGAGGCGCTGGGGCCCGGGCCCGGCGCCGGATCGGACGGCAAAGCGGAGACCCCCACATGCCGATGGCGGCGTTTGAAGAAACGGCGAGCTGAGCTGTCGAGACTAGGATACCAATGATACTTTGCGATGGCGCGAGGTGGACATGTCGTGGTGGAGTAGCAGAACCATTAAAGCTTGTCATGAATCTGGGGACGACATTGGTCTGTGACTTGCAAGCGCGTGTGCGACCGATTTGGTGGGGAGAAGCGGCTTGGCGTTGGGGCTGGGGGAAGCAGAGGAGTCGATAAGCAAGCGACTTTTAGTGGCCGGCTCACGCCTGTGCAACGACTGTCACGCAGGGGGACGATGCGATCACGAGCGGGCATTTGGCCACTTTTTGGCCCTTGACGATGGCTACTTTGGAGAGAGAAGCTGGGTGCTGCTTCGGCGAGCCCGCAGACAGGGCGAGACACGTCGCCGGTGACGACGACGACGACGATTTACAGTTTGACCCACAGCGCCTATTTCAGGGCTGCCATTGACGAAACAGAGGTCACAGACGGAGATGGCTTTTCTTTTTTTTTGGCATTAATCTTTACTGGCCTTTTCTAGTGGGATCTCGGCCGATGCAAAGGGCCGGCCGGACTGCAGGCTTGGTGGGCGTGAAACAGGGAAGCGCCGTTTGCCGAGAGTGGCTCGCCGCGTGCGAGGAGAGCGTTGGGGCACATGTGTTGAGGAGGGACGTCTGTGATAAGGCAGACGAGGACGAGGATATGATGAGCTCTCTCAACAGCATGTGACGACGTTGAAGGAGAAATAACGGGGCTTGCGGGCACCTCGGCCATTGATTGCTCTGAGAGCGTGAGGGCGTGAGGGCGTCAAAAGGCCATACAGGGCCATGCCGGGCCATACCGGGCCATAATACAGGGCCATACAGGGCCATACAGGAGCCTGTCGTCACGCACGTGTAATAAGCGCTGGTAGGGCATGCGCCAAGCTTCGGACGGTTAGCCCAAGTAGGCGGCCGTGCAGCGCCTTTGGCCTGTTTAGGCAAGGCGAGAGAGAGAGAGGCCCTCGCAGCAGTGAGTAAAAAAATTCCAGCGCTGTTGGGCACTAGGCCCGTCCGTAGGCACTACTAACTAGGCCCGTAGGCACTAGGCCCGTAGGCACGATCCCCCGCGCAAGACGTTCCAGCGCGCGGTGGAGGCGCGGTGGAGGCTCAGGCGCTGGACGGTTGTCGGCTCACTCACTCACTCACTCCCTGGCCGGCACCAGCGAGACAGGACAGCACATGGACAGGATGCTGGATATGGATATGCCAACGGCGCACCCACACCCGTTTGCTGCGGTCCATCTGCCCAGAAAACCTAAAACCTACCTCACCCCAGATCAGCTAGGCCCATTATTCCCATCCGTCTATTGCCGATTGGCCTCTTTGTCACCCCCCTTCCAGGCCCCTTCCAGGCCGGCACCCCCGTCTCAGAGCCCTGTTCCTCGAGCTCCTAGTGCCGCTCATTTACGCACGCCGCAATAATATGTCATGTACAGTGTCTATTAGCGGACAATGGTTTGCAGACGTTTAATAAGAGACACCTGGCCGCCCTGAGCGCCATTGTGCGGCAGCGGAAATTGTCCTTGCTCAGCTGCTCTCCAGACCCGTCTCTCAGGGCAAGGGTGCGCTATAAATACAGGTGCTCGGTAGGTCACAGTAGTAGGTACAGTACAGAGTAGTAGGTACTGCGTATGACCTACTGCACATTCGCCGTGGCACGCACAAGCTGGCACTGCGGGCTACCACGGCCATCCATCCATCTCCAACTGCCACACTGACACCACCCACCCACCACCACCCCTTTCCCCCTTCCCTCTTCATCTCTCATTGCTTTTTTTTCCTTGGCTGCATCTCCCTCCCGCCTCGCCGTCACGACAAGCTTGAATCCTCGCCCGCCACAAAGTGCCCGGAGCGGAGGGCAGCATCCTCCTTCTTCCCTCCTTCTTCTCCTTCTTCCTTCCTTCTTCCCCTTCTTCCCTTCGTCTTCTACTGCTTTTACTGCTGCTTCTTCTTCTTCTTCCAGACTTTGTTTTCCCTCCGACGCCGTTTGCTCATCCACTCCTTTGCCCCGCTTCTTCCACGCATCGCCCTCGCCCTCGCCCTCGCCGGCGACAAGAATCACACAGCAACCACCTGCACCGACGGCCCATCACCACCCGAGGCCAACAGAAGCCCAACGGGCCGGCGCGCATGCCGTCGCAATGGTCTTCAGCGGCTCCTTACGGTCTACGCGGGGAACCGTCCTCGTCCTCGCCACCCTCATCTGCACCACCCTCTTCTTCGGCCTCTTTTCCACATCCTCCGACTCGTGGCTCCTGCCCGCCAGGTAAACCCATCTCTCCTCTTCCCCCTTCATGCTCGACGGCTCATCACCCGCCTCGCACAGGACAAAATTCGCCTTCGTCGGCAATCTCTCGACGGCGCCAGACTCAGCCTCTCCGGGCTTCCTGGCCGACACCACCTTAGCCAAGTATGCCACCGAGCTGCGCAACTTCTTCTACCACCAGCTCTGGAAGCCCTCCATCCAGCCCGCATCCCCGAGCTACAGCCCCTTCGGCGCCTATAACTGGACCCTGCCTCGGCCCCCCCGCTGGAACCGCCCGCTCGGCAACGACCTGTGCATCATCGACCTCGACAGCCGCCCCTTTGACCAGCCGGGCCAGGTCTTTGGGCCCAGTCTCATGTCCTGGGACGATTCCCTCGACGTCCACGGCCTGTCGTTGGGTATCATCAATCACTGGCTTTACGGTAGGCATCTGCTCTAGCTTGGACGCGTCGCCACCGCTGATGTTGATTCCCCCCAAAGCCAAGATTCACGGCTACAAGTACTACTATGTTGCCGTCGACGAGTACCCCGATCGGCGCTCATCCTGGAAGAAGCCGCCCGTCATCGCCAAGATTCTCAAGGAGCACGACGTCTGCGTCTACCTCGACTCGGACGCCATCTTCCCTCGCCTCGACCTGCCCTTTGAGTGGCTCTTGAACTATTGGCAGCTCTTCCCCGAATCAAACTCGCTCGCCCTCGCCGTCGACCCCGACCTGGAGTGGAACAAGGACAGGTTCGGCAAGCTGTACCTCAACACGGGCTTCATCATCGCGCAAAACAACCCGACCACGTACGACATCCTCGACGCATGGCAGACGTGCCCCGACGACGACGGCCCCTACCCGGGCTGTACCGATTTCCGCTACAACATCCCCGGCCAGCCGACGGACCAGGGAGGCTTTGGCACCTTTGTCCGCTACAACTTTACCGAACACATTCGGGAGCTGCCTTGCGTCGAGGCCAACGGCTTCCCGCAGAACGACTGGGGCTGCAAGGGGCAGTTCATCCGGCACCTGTGGACGGGCAAATCGGACCAGATCAAGATTGACGTGGGCGAGCAGGTCCCCGGCCCCTACCTGCAGCTGTTCCACCAGCAGTACAAGGACGAGCAAGACGGCTTTTACATGACCGAGAGTGCGCTGATGCGCAAGGGCCCCAAGGCGGCTCTGAAGGGGGGACAGCAGCATCTGACCAGGAGCACGCCCGAGGAAGAAGTGAGATGATGGGCCGTGGGGTCCCTTGACTATGCCCGGCTCTCGAAAGATGACCGAGTGTGGTTGAATCTTTCCATTTCTTTTATTTCTTTCCTCATCTGGGTCCATCGGCGCGAGGGCTTGGTTCCCTCTGGGTCACGTCGCATGGTGGCGCGGCTGCTGCAGAGCAAATAAAGGCCATAAATAGGGGACGGTGGCGATTTCCCGGCATGCATTCTTTCTTTCAACAGATGAGGGCACGACCCTGAGCATTTCCGGAGCGGCGCAGTTACGACGGCATGTCCTTTTGTTGTTTTGGGTATTGGGGGCTAATATTGTGTTTGGTGTACATAAGGATGGCGCCATGGCCCTGGTTGCGACTAGAGGCGTGAGAATTCAACAAGGCGGGCGACCATGGTTGTCCGTTAACGCTGATGGCATGTGTGTCGTTTCTTCCGTGCCTCTTGAAGTTTGGTCGGGGTTGATCTGAAGGTCTTGATGCCCAGGACGGCCCCGTCAATGGCCGACTCAGGCCAGGGGATCCGCCCAGACGACAATGTTGGCGGGGCAATCGACCATGTCGGTGAAAAAGGCGACAATGTCGGCCTCGGAATAGCGCAGGCTGAAATGGGTCAGGACAAAGGTCGTCTGCGGCCAGCGGCGGACGACATGGACGAGGTCCCCCCAGGCGGTATGCTTTGTGCGGTCGGCAAGCGCCTTGTGCCGCGGATAGAGAAAGCTGCACTCGGTGACGACGACGGGGACCCCGGCACGCAGCCACTCGGGCTCGGCGGCGAGCGTGTCGGCGGTGGAGTCGCCGAGGAAGGCGAGGAAGGGGACGGCGTGCGGCTCGGTCAGCCACTCTCCGGCGGCGCGGAGGGCCTGCAGGCGCGGGCCGGCGAGGGCGGCGAGGGCCGGGCGCAGGCGCTGGGTGACGCGGGAGAAGAGGTAGCCGAGGCTGGGGACCGAGTGGGTGCAGGCGAAGGCGGTGGCCGTGACGAGCGTGTTGGCGCGCGAGCGGAGGTGGTGGAGGGGGACGGTGTCGCCGGGCCGGAGGGCGTGGGTGATGTGCGTCGTGTTTTCCGTCGTGTTCGGGGCATCCGTCCCTTGCTCTTGCGCCGTGCTGTCTTGCCTGCCGTCTTCTTGGCCGTCCTTGTCGTCATCGACACCGACACCACCATCATCATCATCATCCCTTGGCTCCTCGTCCGGACCTCCCCCCCCGGCGTCGAGCAAGACACTGGCCCGAACAAAGTCATCAAACAGGCCGGCCATCTCAACCGGACAATAGACATGCGGCAACCCATCATCACCGTCGCCGCCGCCGCCGCCGCCGCCCACAAAGGCGGGCGCCAGCAGGGTGTGGTCGCTGTGGCCGTGGGTCAGGAAGACGTGGCGCGGGCGGAGGCGGTTGACGCACAGGCCGGCGTCGAGCAGCAGGTCGAGCTGCGGCACGACAAAGGACGTGTGCCAGGCGGCGCGCGAGCGGCCCGTCAGCACGCAGTGGGCAAAGGGCCGCGGGAGGCGCCACTCCAGCACGTCGGAGCGCGGCGACTGCGCGAGGGCGCTGGCGAAGCGTGGGCGCTGGTGGGGTGGCGTGTCGGACATTTTTCCCTTTTTTTTTCTTCATTCGTGAACGCTTTTCATACTTGGCGTTGCCTTTGTTTGTCAACCTCTCCCTCTCTCTGTGTTTGTATGTGTTTTGGATGTTGTTTGTGTGCGTGCGTGAGCGTGGGAGAAGGGAGTTTGGCAAAGCCGTCAGCGTCATTCGCCGGCGGAGGAGTGGGGCCCCCGGGCTCGGACCTCCGGATCGCCGGGCCGGAGCGTGGGGGCGCTTCCTTCGGTCCCATTGGAGAGCTCTACATTCGTCACTCTCGTCTTGCTTCATGTCTGCACGCTCTCTACAGATTCATCGACCCAGATGGCATCAGCTCTCCTAGCCCCGTGGTCCCAGGGAATGCTTTGAGGAAAACGGACGCAATCCTCCGTGTTTCTCGGCCTCGTCTGCCTGCCACGCCGAGAGCGCAAGACCAGAGCTCCATGTCAAGGCGCCACGGGCCATTCCCGTTACCGATACCCTCGGCGTTTTGGGCAGGTGCAACGCTCGTGCGGCGTCAACTCTGCCCTGTCAAAGTGTGTTCCCGGAGTCCTGGCCCTGTAGTCAGGGTAACTCTCAGTCTCACAGTATAGATTATCTCATTCCAATCGTGATAGGCAATCAAAGCCTGGGTTCTTGGCGCAGAAGTCGTCGGGATCCGGGCCGGTACCGTGTCTCCTGGCGCAGGTGCCCGTCTTGAGTACTTTGATATCCCGGGTGCCGTTATCGACAGCCGACGCTCTGACGTCGCTGCAAGCTGAACGCGGATGGATGTATGAGTCCTTGCCGCACCCAGCGAGGCCACGGCAGCAAGACCCAAGAGGCTTCTCATTGGAGGTTGCTACCTTTGAGCTCGGACAAGAGACAATCCTATGGACTGCTTTAACATTTGCAAAGAATGGGCTCCCCGGGAGGGTAGAGCTTGTGCCTCTTCTTATACTTGAACAGCTGTCTTTGATGCCCATCGCGTCGACGAGACCTCTATCACTTGGAGAAGCCGTGTGCTGGGCCTGCACCAACGCCTGGAGCGACCAATTGCCGGTTTACTCCATCCGTCAACTACAATGCGCATGTCTCAAACAAACTATTGCTTGCAGAGACGAACACTGGCGCCAACTCTACCTATAGAGCTTTGTTTAGATTATCTACGTACAAAATAACCGAGACAGCTATTTCTTTCCATCTCCAAATCCTTTGGATGGTAAGAGAACGTACATGTAAGAAGCTCTCAAGTGGCTAAGCCCGTGAGTAGAGCGCTTGCCTGATGGGACACGAGTTCATTCAACCGTCTCTGTAGCCCCGTTCTTGGAGTATAAGGCAGAGTTCTTGTACCATGATATGACATCTAAGGCGTATGCTATGTCGCAGTGGAACCCTTTAGGTTATAAAGCTCGGTACATTTCTCGCTGGCTTGGCTGGCTAAAAGGAACAACACTCCTTTGACTGCCGAGGAGGAGCAGATAGGTCACGGTCTCCGAAAAACTCCATTCACCAGGAGATACTAACTACGGAGCTTGTGTGCGCGAACCGAGATTGCGAATGCTAGATATAGTCGACAATATCTACCCGAGCAGCCACTATTTCGTTGGCTTTGCTTTAAGATTCTCTTACGTCTATAGATGGCCGCTATAGTGATTGCTTCTGCTCCTCCTCGGCAGTCACGCGATGGGGTTGACACCCAACATCGGCCGATTCACGGATAATGCCTGATTGCTAAGTACCGTGGGCTCACGCAAGAGTCTATTCTCACTTCACTGCAACGCTGTCACTGTATTCAATTACTCAACTTTCAAGAGACGAGTGTACATTGAGGCACCACCGATCCCGAAGACCTGCCCCAATGCCTGGCTGTGTATAAATCATCCATCGTTACCCTTGATGCAGGCTCCCGTTTATCCCCTCTACAAGCTTCTCGACTCTGTGAGTACCCTTTCCCAGGCCACGGTTCGGACATTTACTTATCCTTCCAACTTGAACAAGCAAAACTCCTCCCGGTCGTATAATTCTTCTGTCAGCCATCGTCGCCACGGTGGCACTGCTACCCCTACATTCATTGCTCGATGCGAGTTCGACGGGTGGACCTGGATGGCATGGTATGGCTCATCGAGCAATGTGGGACCAGTGGTTCGATGCCGGAGATCTCGACGCGATGCTCCGGCTCGTTGCCTTGACTCGACAGGTTTCCAGAAGCAGCCTCTGTTCGAGCGTGAGTAGCCCTGTGGAGGAGGCCGAATCGTTGTTGTTCTTCCACATCCACGCCCTACCGTCATCCACTTGAGATGCATCAACAGAAGCAATGCGTAGGCCTTGGGCGTACCAATATCCGGAACACCTCGGCCGCTTATAGCCACCGATACACCCCCAACTATGCAATACAGCACTCGGACGGCATCCTGGAAGCAATCGCCAAAGCCAGGCTGGTAAGTGGCTTTCCACGTCGACGAGCGAACTAATGTTCAGCGTCACGCCGATACGATGATTTATTGGGCGGCGTTGGAAAGGAAGTATCTGCCCTGATAATGGGTAACTATCAGAACAGACGGGGCCGCGCTGATACAACGAAGTATCCTCTCGGCGTCACAATTTACGAAAATTATTGGTACAGGGGCGGCGTACCTGGGTTGAAGCCCCCTGAGCAGTGCGGTATGCCTCACTCTCCCAAGTCGCAGCGAAACCGTTCCTACCAAGTGCGTCTATACCAATGATAGATGTCCCCATTGACATATAAAGATGGTCAATGTGCCCGAGGGATGCAACGACGTGGCGTGTCTACTTCTTTTGTACGTATCTTGTCAACATTTCCTTGATAATCCGGCTCTGGCATGGGGATTGGACTAACGGAACTAACAAGTGTAGTGATTATAACTGTGGTGGCGACGACTTGGATGCCTCTCCAGACGACGATAGTCTCTTATCTCGGGTATCCTTTTTGAAAGGTGATGAGCTCATTTGCTTAGTTTGAGTAGCCCTATCCCTATGGTATATGATAGGTTCACGTATGCCCTTGAATCAAGTCATTCTGATAACGGGCTTCGCACGAATCTGAGATGGCTCCTGGTTGCGTGTGATGAGAGTTGTCCGGGTCAAGTACCAGACAGGCGGTGGCACAGACTCGTGCAACTCTCCAAACACGAAAAAGTCAAGTTAGATGGGTTCGACCTGGATAGTGGACGAAATATTATCATCTCGGCGCTTTTCCACGCGGTTCCAAACCAAACGTCGACCACGACGGCAACAGCAAAGTGCCGAGGGGTCGCTTCCGACGAACGAGTCGCGTCAACAGGAGTGGCCTGCGCCGGATAGACCATGGACACAACGGAGGCCAAGAAAGAGTCGGCAGGAGCCTTCAATATACCCGCTGCCAAGACTCGATAGCCTGGGGGAACCAGACCACGATGGGACGGCCGTGGCACAGCTTCGTATGCTGGTGTTTTCTTTCTTATTTCTCCATCGAGTGCCTAAGCGAGGACCTGGGTGTCCGCAAATACCCTTATTTTTGGGGATCATAAAAGGGGTGCCTTGTGACTTAACAGAGGCCATCAACCGCCGTCGTTTGAAACCATAGAGTCACACAGACACATACATATCAAGACTCGCAAATCCTCCCAGCTCTCCTACTCCAAGCCCACACCCGAGACAAGATGAAGCCGTCGATGCTCCTCCTAACCACAGCAACGGCGGCCGCCACGTCCGCTCCCCGCCGCTTCGCCCGCGTGCCGCTGCCCGAGCCGCTCGACTGGATGCCAGAAACCTCGCTGCTGCTCGACCACGTCCTCGCGAGCCACCACGCAAACTACTCCGCGTACGCGGGCGGTGAATCGTGGGCGCGGGAGATGCTCGACCGGTGCACGCGGGATGCCGCCTGCACGTCCACCTTTTCCAACTCCGGTGCGTGCCCTGGGCCCTCGTGTCCACTCTCACCCCCCAAGCAAGAGCGGAGCTATATATAGTCTTGGTGGACGACGAAAGTTGACGATGAGTTTTACAGCTATCAACGCCGGCTCGCCCCCGGCGCGGTATTGGTTTGGCTATACCTGCAGTGGTGGGCCGACCACGGCGGTAAACTATACGCGATACCTTGAGGGCTTATAAGATACCATTGCCTACACCGTAGTCGAATGAAGTGAAAGTACGGGTTTGGCTTCGAAGGAACCTGACACAGTGCATGGCTGCTTGCGGGGCAAGGCTCTTTCGTTCCCGTAAGTTTCATCAATACACTCCGATCTCTAGGTTACAAGAGTCAGACATCTTGGGCTCTTCAACATTCTCTTGCGATAACTGTTGCCTTTGTCGGGCCAAAATCTTGGAGTACGCGCCGTTCCGATAAAGTCACGATGCGGGAGTCCGACCCAGGGACTAGCAACACGAGGGGACAAGTATAGGTTCAAGGTGTCCCAACGAGCAGAGCTGACGCCTCCCCCCAGAGAGTCAACGACACGTCCGGCCTGCAGATCCACTCCTTGATGTATCGGTTCCATCCCTCGGTCAAGTGGGAGCAGGGCTACCCCAACCGCAACCAGATCCTCGGCCAGGTGCGCCAGCTCTGGAAGCGCTACGGGTTGCAGAACAAGACGCGCTTCAACTTCAAGGTCGACAGGGTCTACCAGGACGACGCCGGCCGCTAGGTCATCAACGACCCGTCCCACGGCCACTTTGAGGGCCTCATCGCCGCCGTCGGCACCTGCGGCGAGCCCAACATGCCCTACATCCCCGACGTGGACAAGTTCCGCGGGCCCGTCTTGCACTCGAGCGAGCTGACCGGGTGAGTACCCCCGTTGCCCAAGAAGCTTCACCTGCTCTCGGTCCTGGTTTCGTCAAACTACGGCGTCGAGGCAAATGCAGAGTTGTTTGAATTTGATTTGATCCGACTCTCCATGCTATACGGGCATGCCAGTCTTCCTGGAGTCAACCTTTCCTGAAACGCCACGCTGTAAATCAAGCACTATCGCTGCGACACCTTCATTATTCGCATCTTCCTTTGAGAGCCCTCCCCGATGCTCTCCCCAACGGACGAGCCCGTGTCCGTCCTTGGCCCATTGTCGGGGATGGCCAAAATCTAAGTCATCCACAAGAGGGCTACAAACGCAACAGGATCATCTCAGATTGGGCCGTCTGATGTGGTCGGCGGCTCTTCTCGCGAAGAGAGATGCGAGAAGTGCATATAAAATGCACGAAGGTAAAATTGGAAGTAAGGGGTCGGACAGGCAGGGCAAAGTTGTTTGATTCTTGCGGGGGCAATAATTGCGGCAGGGGAATGATTGTTGTATTGCCTTAATTGTCCTTCTTTCCTCTATCCAACGCCCCTCTTTATATCCCTCTAGCATCCCAATTAACAAAGAAGATCCTGCTTAAAGAAGCCACTAATGTCCTCTTAACTACCGAGCTTTTTGCCGGTTTTTCCCCTCCTTTTCAGCCGTTGCCAGCTTATCCGTCTTATCTCTCGCTACCTCCATAGGAAGCCATCGCCACTTCTACTTCCCCTCTCTCCCCCACCCTCCTCTCTGCACCTCTTTTCAGCTCCTTCTTCCTTCTTCTATACCGGTCTTTCAGCTTCCTAGATCCCTCTTGCCTAGGGATATCTCCGAGACCTGCGAAATCAGGCCACGCTTCGCGACAGCTTTACGCCCCCGGCCACGACGGTGCATTTAACAGCATCCCCATCAGGCACCACGAAACAAAACCCGTCACGGGCAATGTGACGAGCCACCCCAAGTAGATCTGGCCCGTGAGCTTCAGATTGATGCACCGCCAGTCGCCGTTGGCCAGGCCAACCCCGACGGTGGCCCCCACAATGCACTGCGTCGTCGACACGGGCAGCCGCAGCCTCGTCGCCACGAGCACCGTGATGGCCGAGGCAAGCTCCATGCAGAAGCCGCGGCTGGGCGAGACGAGCGTCAGCCGGTTGCCCAACGTGCGCATCACGTGGTAGCCAAAGGTTAGCAAGCCGAGCACAATCACCGCGCCGCCGAAGCAGAGCTGCCAGATGGGCACATTTGTCATCTCGGGCACGCGGCCCTCCGACCACACCTCGTAGGCCACGGAAAAGGGCGCAATGGCGTTGGACACGTCGTTGGCCCCGTGCGTAAACGAGGTGGCGGCCGCCGTGATGACCTGCAGGGTGGAAAACATGTACTCGGCGCGGTTGTCGTATCGACGGGCCCGTGAATGCATGTCGGCAATGTCCCACTCCAGCAACGCGTTGCACTTCTGCATGCTAATGACATCCCTTTCCACCCCCCTGAGGAAAATTCGGCCAATTCTCCATCTAATGACTGGCCAGCTGGTCCCTGATCCCGGCGGCCGAGGGGGGGTCAAGGCCTCGGATTCGGGGTCCAGGCGTGATACCCACCCGGGTGGCGGAGACTGCGCGGGCGGCGGCAGGATCGGCTCCTCATCGTCGTCGTGTGTCGGGGGCGGCTTGCCGTCAGACGTCTGCACCGACTGCAACAGCTTCTCCGAGGCGCGGACAAATTGTAGCTCCTCCGGGGTAAGATGGCCTCGGTAAAAGTCGGTGATGTGAGGCTTGATGGCCCCTCGAGGCGTAGGTGGCGGAGGTCGGCGCCAAAGAAGAAAAGGTCCCTGGAAGGCGTGGTACCCCTTCAAGGTCCAATCGTCTCGCACGACTCTCGCCCAGAGCCAAGGCATGACGAAGAAGCTCTCAAGCAATACGCCTCCTGTAGCCGCCGCAAAGATAGAAATGAGCACAATCTTGGTCGGTACGGTGCCAAGGTACATGCCTTCCCATACCACAAGCGCTGTCCAGGTCAGTCAAAGGCACGCTCGGGAGAGGGCCGGGTTTAGACGTACTTGCCAGCGCGCCAAAGGTGATGAAGGAGTAAAAGGGAATCGAGAAAAAGGCCCGCTTGACTGCCCCCGCCTTGCAGAGGACAGCTGTCCTGGTGAAGAGAAAGAGGGCTGCGCCCAAGAGGCCAGCGAAGCCGGGAGAAATGACCCACGCGGCTATGACCCGCGACACCCCAGTCCAGCCCCAGTTGATCTTGGAGACGCCGATGGAAGCTATGCCCGAGCCAATCAGGCCGCCGAGGAGCGAGTGCGTGGGCATGACGGGCATCCCCTTTCTCGTGGCAACGGTGAGGAAGATCGAGGAGGACATGATGGTGCACATCATGGCCAAGAGGAGGACAGCCGGCGCATCGTCGAAGTGGTGAGGATTGACGATGGCCTTGCGAACCATTTCCGTCACCCGGCTTCCCACCGTAACGCTGCCGGAGAATTCGCACACCGACGCCAGCGCCATGGCTTGCTTGAGCGTCAGCGATCTCGAAGAGACCGACGACGCAAACGCGTTGGCGACATCGTTGGCACCTGAATTCAAGGAAGTCGAATTAGACGGCTTGACTCTTCCCGTAGCGGCTGGTAATGGTAGACGACAGCGGCCCCCCCGATCTCGGGTTACCACTCAAGAGTGTGCATCCGTGCACCCATCATGCCTCGATGGCCCAGAGCAGCAGTGGGGTGTTCCTTACCGATGTTCCAGGCGTCCAACGCCGCGAGTACAGAGGTGATGGCAAAGATGTAGTCGTATTGGTGCAGGGCAGACATTGCACTGCCTCTTGCGCTGCAAGGAAGATCAGAGGCCAGCTAAGGTCGTCGTCGGCAGAGTCCACGCTCGATGCCTCGAGATGGACGCGGGCAACAACTTGTCGAGTTCCGAGTTGTATGTCATTGATGGCGGACGCACCATCAGGTCACGCTGACGTCTACCGCAGACTTGTCCATTGACGTTCGGCAGGTGAGGCCGGACGCGTATGGGCCGGTCGACGTAGAAGCGTGCTGAGAAGCGATGGTAGTGCCAGGCTGAAGCTTCAGCGGGCGAGGGAACAGATAGATGGGCGAGGCAGCTGAGATTCAATTACATATGGGAGCGAGGCCCCTGAGAGGATTGCCGAATCATGCACTAGGACATCCCGCCCGGGTTGTGCTTTGGGGGTAACGGCCTAAGAGGATGATCAAACCTGTCTGATCCAGCGACACGGATATAAGGCCACGGGCACAATCCGGCAGACGGGCATGCTGTACGATGAGTCCAGCTTGCCCCTCGAAGTGTGTGAGCGCCTGATCTCAGTGCCCTAGTGGTCCCGCCTCGAAACATGACGAACGCCATCAATGACAAAGCCAGTTGTGTCTTCAATTACTAGCCGCGATGAGACAAAAGCGGCGTCTGGCACGTGCCAAAAGCTCCACGGCCACAGGAGCGTCATCTGGTGCGATGGCTCGTTGCGGTACAGGGTGAGAAAGTACCAAGAGGGAGGCTCAACTGAATGGAACTTGACTGGCTCAAGCCGCGCAAGTGCTCCAGGGCACATCCTTCGCAGTCGGAGTATTTGATCTGGGCCGGGGTGTCCACTGATAGCCCAGCCTTATTTGATTTCTCCGAGGGTCCTGGTATGTCGGCATTTGAAGGCCATTTCCATTGCGTCTGGTCGCCACTGGCGACGAACGGTTCATCTCTCTGGCGCTAATGATGAAGCTGCTGGCGTTTTCGGACGCCGAAACCCAACGTCATGTCGTTAGCTAGGTAGCTGGCTTCAAGTGGCTTCATGGAAGACAAGCTAGAACTTTCCATAACGAGGTCATGACGAATCCATCCGCCTTTGGGGGTCTGGTGGAGCCCACGCACGTCCCGGCGCGCCACCGCATCGGGGCATGGGACTGCACCAATGGATTTAGCGGCAGGCAATGTTGGACGATGGAGCGAGATATGCGACAGGTCCGGACCAAGGGTTGCGCGGCGGATGAGGAGGAGGATAAAAACGTTCCGAGTCAGCCGCTTGTGTCATTGTCGTCAAAGTTATCGCGGGAGATTGGCAAGTCCACCACTCATCCTGGGATTAGGTAATGTTGCCGCGGTCCGTCTTAGCACCCGACGCATTCCGCCACCGCCAATTACTCAAGCTCGCGCAACCTCAGTTTCGCGTCCCCAGCTTCGAGTCCCGTCACCAAGCTTTACGCGCATAATCATGCCTCCCCGTCTCGTTCCCCTCCGCCCACCGCCTCTACCTCTTACATCCCTCCTCTTCCGCCATCTCACCGTCTTCCGGCGTCCCTCGTCGACCTTTACCCCGCGCCCCTCCCCGCCCAAGCTCCCTGCTGACCAGCAAGCCGAGTTCGAGCGCCTCCAACGCACCGCCGCCGTCTCCTCGGCCTTCCAGCCTGTCTCAACGGCCACTGCTTCTGCCACCACCGCCACGCCGCCCGCCACCCAGCAGCCCCGGCACACTATCGACACTGCCGACGACAACAGCCGCAACGACGACGACAACCAAGTCAACCGAGGTCTGTTCCGCGGCGCGCCGCCAGAGTTCAGTGGCCATGTAAACCCCAAGACGGGCGAGGTTGGGGGCCCCAAGAATGAGCCGCTGCGGTGGGGAGTTGCCGGCGACTGGAGCTACAACGGACGGGTTACGGATTTCTGAGCACGCGCCGCGCATCGTCGAGACGGAACTGGTGACCGATCTCTCGTTAAGCATCAAACACCACGCATCTCCCATGTCGTCTCTTGATCTGACATGGGCGCTGGTAGGCAAGCACGTCAAGGCACTCGACTCCCAGCTTGCCGTGTACAAATTCTACCACTCCATCAAGTCTCAGCACCTCCAAAGTCCACCAAACCACGACCCAGTTCAACCGGCCTTGGCTGTTCAGATGAGCCCGGTTACTGTATATACATGCGTTTGAATTATAGTGGGGTTCTGGAATAGAGAATAGAGGCTATTAGGCACCGTCGACATCGAATCAACGTCCCCGCAAGCATCATGAGTCGTTTCCCGATGACTCGCGGTAATGCCACTGTGTCAGCATAATGACGCCCCACGGGATATTCTTATGTCTTCTCTTCTTTCTTGTTCCGGCCCGGACTCTAGCCATTCCTTGTCGCCGCCGATGATTTACTTCTTGTCGCCGCCCGTAGACTTTTCGGCAGCGTCGGCATCCACCATTTCGACGTTTTCGTTTGGTGCGGCCTTGATGTCTTGCGGCGCCTCAGCAAGCCGTCTTTCGTGAGCCAAACGGTTTTCCTTGTCACCCTCGCTGGGCTCGCGTTCCTTGTCGCCCGTGTCGGCGCTCTCCTTCGGGGCCTCCTCGGCGCCCCTCCTGTGCCAGCTTCCTATTATCTCGCTCCGCAAAATGCCCACGTCATGGTCCTTTCCGGGCTGGAGCTTGGGCTGGTGTTGTTCCAGGCCGTTGGTGTTGCCAAAGCTGGCCGTGACTTCCTTCATCACCTTGCGCATGCGTTCTCTGCGAGCCTTTCCGCGCAGTCTTGCCTGCGGCTGTCCCCCGTTCTCCACCCAGCGAATGCTCTCAACCATGTAGCTGATCCCGTCATGAACCGACTGGCGCGCGCCATACTGGCCGCCAAACTCGCGGCTCGAGATGCCAAACCGCGTCGTCGCCGCGTACTTGACCAATTTGGGGAGGATGAGGACATTGACGTGAAGGTCGCGGTTGGTCGGGATGGACAGCGGCCCAGATTGGGGTGGCGAAGTGATGAGGCCCTCGGACTCGAGGTCGAGCGACTCGTTTGCCCGGTTCTTCGTTTTGCGGCGATGGCCGTCGTCTAAGTCGAACGCGGCGCTGTCGAAATCCTCGGCCCATTCGCCCTTGATCCAGCCGCCGTGGATGCAGGCTGCCATGACATCCGAGTCGTCCGTGTAAATGTCGGTCCCCCAAAGGTATGCCCTCGCCGTGATCTCCTCGCGAGCCGGCGCTGACAGATGCACCCGCGGCACCTTGACGGTCAGGATGCAGTTCTCCTTACCTTCAACCACGTCCCAGGGAAGCGGCCTCGGGTTCGAGGAGTAGCCCCTGTGTGAGGGGGTGTTGGGCAGCAGTCGCCCTGGCCTCAATCCTGCCTCGTAGATGAAGTCGCCGAGGTGGTGTCGGGGTCGATGGGCCACTGCGTCGAGCACGGCTTTGGACGTGATTGTCATCTTGGGCTTTGGTGGAATGATGGGAGTTGGGCTCTGCGCGGATTGTTTTGCCTGCGACCCCGGGGTCTGCTGAGCTGCCCGAGGCCCGTGGTGGTGATGGTGGTGGTGGTGCGGAGCAGGGGCCCCCCTTTCGGTCGGGGACGCTGCCAATGGACCGCCCTTGAGGTTCTTAAACGGGGCGACTGCCGCGGTGGGGGATGAGGTGGCCTCGGACGCATGGTGGTGGTGGTGGTGGTGATGGCTGTATTCGCGTAAGAATTGGTCAGACAGCATGTGGAGGGAACGGGGTGTAGGAGCGTACTGGTGGTGATGGTGTTGGTGCGCCTTTGTCCGCTTGTTGGTGCGAGCCCCTGGGGTGGCCCGGCCCGAAGTGTCGTCGTCTCCGCGAGTCTCGTCATCTTTGAGCTTCCGTCTCCTGCCCTTGCCCTTGCCAGCAGCCTCGGGGCCCGAGTCGGGCGCTGCATTCTCAACGTCTTCACGCTTGATCGACGGCGCATTGCCGTACGCTGCGACGGCGCCCGACGCGGCCGGGCTCGACACGCCTATGGCGCTGACTCCGCTTCCAATGCCCGAGAACATGCGCCCAAACTCGCTCTTGATGCCTGGCTCCCCAGCAGGTCCCGGATGCTGGGGTTGGGCCCCCTGTACGGCTTGGGGCAAGGGAGAAACGCGGCCCTTTCGGTTGATGTCTTGAACAGCAAGCAGGTTCCGCTGGTGGATGCCGGGCCCAGCCGATTCCTCGACAGTGCGGTTGCGTGAATCAAACGGCAACGGGTTGTGGCCGCCGTTGTACGCAATCGAGGGTGGCTGTGGCGGCGGCGGCGCTTCTTCGGCGTGACGGGGGCGATGCAAGGGGTAATGCTGAGTTTGCTGGTGCTGCTGGTGCACGTGATCGATCCGGGAGTGTTCAGGCGGCTCGAACGGCGCGGCGTTCGAAGAGGCTTGGGGGTGAGGCGGCGGTTGCGAGGCGGACGGATATCTTTCCGGAGGCGCGGCCTGATACGCGGGTGCATGTTGCGGCGGGTAGGAGCCGGATGACGAGGGAGGTTCTGCCGGCGGTCGCTGATGGTCCATGGGAGCTCGATAGTTGGACTCGGCGCTAGGACGCCCCCATTGCGTGTCTCTGGGGTCGCGCTGGTCGCGATTTTCAGGCGGAGGGCCGTACTGGGGCTGGCTGGTGTGCGATTCGCGGCGGCCCATTTCGCGCGGCGACAACATGTGCCGGTGGGAATCACCCGAGTACGCTCGCTCCCTGCCTGGTCGTTCTCGCGGCTCGGGTACGCCCTGCCGCTCGCGCTCTGCTCGAAAACGATCTTCGTATGCGTACGGTCTCGGCCCCGAACGCTCGGGGTTGTAGTCGATAACCGGCGCGGACCGGCCGACCTCTTCCCGACGGGCGTATGCTTCGTCGGGCCTGGCCAAGTCCATGGGTCGGGGCGCGACGTTGCCATAGGGCTTCGGCTGATTAGCGCCAGGCGTGCCGGCGGACAAGCTACCCGGTTCCCTCGACGTGTCAGCGGGGGCGGATGGATGGCGCGAGTGGTAGCCGGCCTGAGGCGTGCCATAGCGCTGGAGATCGGGGGTCGAGTAGTGGCCGCGGGGAGACGGGGCGGTGCTGCCGCGCGGATCGTAAGGGCGTTGATGATCGGGAGTCTGCGGACGACGAAAGGGAGGGTATTCGGACGAAGCCGAGTGCATCCGGGGCGACGCATGCACAGAGGAAGCGTATCCGGAGCTCGAGCCGGGTGCGGCGGGAGCGACGGCGTGCGGCGGGTAGTGCTGGGAGGGCGGAGGCTGGGAGTCGCGCAAGGCGGGAGGCGGGCCGCCAAGCATGGAGGATATGGACATGGAGCTGCCGGCGGCGCTGCCGGATCGTGAGAGGGAGCCCAGGGCAGGGAGCTCGCGGGCCGAGGGAAAGGCGTTTGACGGCCCAACTGGGAGCGGCGGCGGTCTCGGGGGCGGCGGCCCGTACGCCATGGCAGGCTGGGAGGAGGGATGCTGGTGCGGCGGTTGGGGAGGCGAGGACGGCGGCGGCGGCGCCATGGCGCGGCCAAGCTGTCTGGCTGGCGGCAGAGACGAGGCGCTCTGGGCGCGGGCGTGGCCCAGGTCGGGGAGGCTTGAGCGGGCGGCGGGGGGGTAGTAGGGCGTATCGGAGGTGCGTCGATGGTCGGTCGGGTAGGCCGAGAAGGGCGAGTGGTTTGCGCCGGGCGACGGGGTGGCGTGAGGCCGAGGGAAGGGCGAGGCGATTGCTGGGGAGGCGAAGTTGTTGGGGTTTGCAGGAGCTGCAGCAGCCGGAGCGCGGTACTGGTGCTGGCGCTGCTGCTGGGGGCGCTGTCTTGGGTCCATGGCGGCGCCGAGAGTGGGTTAGTTGGTAGGCTGCTTACTCCGTAGCACTCCGTAGGTTGTTTTTTTCTAGCTCCAAAATTCCGACCCGTTCCGTTTGCTTCTACCTAGCTTCTGTCTGGGGCGGGCGAATGGCGAAGCAGGCGGTTATTGAAAAAGACGGTAACACGAACCACAGGACCGATGCGGGCGACAAGAAGCTCTGCCCTTGGGCCAGCCACTCCTGCTGCCCGGGCCGTTACGGGTGCAAAGGCTGGTCAGGCGTCGACGGCGCCGCGCAGGGGTATGAGAAAGAGTTCAAGGCAAGAAATGTCGTCCAGTTGTCGGGGCGCCGGCGCCGGCGTCGGAGCAGATGCGTGGCGCGGCGGACGGGGAGAAGAGAGGAGTAGGGTGCAAAGGCGAGGTGAGCTGGCTGACAGCCGAGAGCAAATTCAGCGACGGTATGCCGCGGCGTTGGGCCCCAAGGTGCTGCTTGCTCCCTCATCAGCCGGGCCAAGGCGAGGGAGTTTGAGCAAGGGGTCAAGTATGCGGCAGTATCAGACGGGATATGGGTTGGCAGCCAACATGGAAGAAGGCCATGAACATGTTGGAGACCGTGTTTACATGCATGCATGTAGTCCCAGGGCCATGTTTGCGCACTGCACGCAGAGATAGAGAGAGAGGGAAAGCGAGGGTGAGAGAGAAGAAATGTCGCTTGCCTCACCTTTGCAAGACCGAGGCACAGGGGGCGGCGATTGGCAGATGGAGCTTAAACCCCCAGGAAGCCAAAAAGCCTAGTGGGGCCGCATGGAGAGCGCCATTGGTGGCGGGAGGGGGCGAGACACTAAGGTACTGTAGGTACGTTATTAGGGTCACGGATCCTCTTTCTTTTTGGGCCCAAATTTCGACATCAGCCAACGCGCGTGGTGCGACCTCTTGACACGGCCCTCGTCAACAAGCATGGCCGACTGCACACTGCACCGCGCTCACCTTTACGTGCGAGTGCGTCAAAGTCTACGCCGCCCATCGTCCAAGACATCGCGACGTCACACATCATCTCAGCCAGACCTCCAGGCCCACCGGTTAACCAGGCACGGCGGCACGAACCGAGCCGCTGATTGGATGCCGTGTCTCGAGACGGGTCTGATGTTATAACAACAAGAGCCGTGGTCCGCTTCCGGTCCGTCGCTACTGTGTGCCGACACCTCCCCGGATCACGCATCTCAATCGGATGTCTCTGTGCGACTGTCGATCGGGCCAACGAGACAAAGCCTCTTGATTGGCCGGCCCTGTCTTGCTTGGCAGCCAACGGCCTTTCTGCCAGGCACGCCCGCGGCCGACCCTTTCTCGTCCAACGGCCCCCGACGCGAGCCATGCTTCGATCTGAGCACCTTGTGTGGAATGCTGTGCCGGACAAAGAAGCGACCGACCTTTATCCTTGGGAGCGCCAACCCATGCCTTGGGAGAACCCAAATGATGCCTCTTGCCTCTTCGGGCCTCCCGAGGCAGCACGGCAGGCAGATGCAGTCGCGGCACATGGCCAACGAGGCATTGCATCCCCCGACTTGCCATCTTGTGACAGGCACGCAGACTCGTTGCATGGGGCCTGTAGAGCTGAGAGGCCGTTGACATGTGCTCTGCATCCTCTGTTTTCCCGCACAGTCCGTACGACTCGGCAGATCGGGCCTCATGACGCCTCTATAGACGGCATGGTGCCCTGCGCGCTCCTGTGTGCACCGAGTGAGCGCGTAAGCCTCTCCTTTCCCGCCTTGTTGAGTCCTCGGAGGTGTTGTCGGCCGTGCTGTTGGACAGCCTTAGGCACAAGTCTCGAGAGACGAGTCCAGTTGCTCCTCTTTTCGACTCTCGCAGACCGGTCGTCTTTGCTGTCCAAAATCTGCTCCGACGCCGGGGTAAAGCTCTGGCCCCCCCGGAACAGATTGCCCACGGTATTGAAGTACCAGGCAGCTCACCGCTCGCCGCATTCGGTACTGCCACATGCTCCTTCCAAGCTTCCTTGTTCGCCGCAGATTCACAAGGACAACTGCTGCGTTTCGTCATCTAAAGCCTCCCCCAAGCGCAATGAAACAAGGCCTTTTTTGCCTCAGGCTCCTACTGTGGGCATGGAGGAGCCTCCTTCGACCCGCGCCCAGGAAAACATCTCCTTACCGGACCAACCCTCGCAATCCGAGCCCTCCTTCGCTTCCCCTCGACGCCTTGCCGACGCCGTCTCGCCGAAACGCCGCTTCGTCAGGCCACCTTCTCCTTCGAGCCAGTGCCTCCCGAGCAGAATAGGCCATGGCACAAAGTCGTCGTCTTGGGGACTTTGTCGCGACGGTCGCGGCTGAGCAGGGACTCGAGCTGAACCCGTCACACCCTCCCTTTAACCATCACGATTCACCCATTCTCCGCCCCAACCGCGCCCCCAACCACGTCCTGCTGTATCCGGGCTCCTTCAACCCTCCCCACCGGGGTCACCAGGCGCTCCTCGACCATGTCTTGCGTAACGCCGGCGACGACCTTTTCCTCGCCGCCGCCATCATCCTCCCCACCGATGACGATAAGCTTGCCGCCAAGAACACCAAGGACGAGCAGCCCTTTCTGCTGACCAAGGCAAAGAGAGCAAATCTTTGGCACGAAGCGGGCCTCCCCAAGGATCGCGTCTGGGTCTTCGAGGGATCCGAGGACTCGTGGAAATCCTTCCGCGCCCGGTTGCAGAAAAACCTGGCACGGCGTTGCATCGACTTGAGGTTTGTACTCCTGGTCGGTCCCGACTGGATCAGTTCGAGAGCCGCCTCCGACCCCAAGAGCTGGGACTGCGTCGAGGCTCTCACGAGCGACGTCTCGCGCCCCGTCGACTTTCGCTATCCCTATTCTCTCCGCCAGCTCCCGGCATGCTCCATGTGGGAGCCGTGCTCGCTTCAAGGCGATGCACCGCCGAGCAAGGTAGCCATCGACGCGGCCGCCGGTAAGAGCCTTTCCCCACAGCACCACCAGCCGGCTACATTTCTGACTGCTCGTCTCTTCCCGCGGATCCAGCCCGAGGCAAAGCAATCGAGCTACCCGCTTTGCCGGTCGTCACCTCTTGGAAGTGCGAGACGTTGAGAAAGCCTTTGCGCCGCTACCGTTTTGTTCCATGTCAGCTGCCGAGGCTCGAGCGGTCAGGAGCGCCCAGCTCTACCGAGATCCGTCGCATCATCGCACTACGTCAAGGGCGTCAGCTGAAGGAAGAACTGGACAAACTCGCAATCGGCCCGTCACTCTTGTTGCAATATGCCCTTGAAGGAGGTCCCTATTCGGCGCCAGCAATTCGAGACAAGTCACTGGACTATGGGGCCCGAAAGGCAAAGGCTGATGAACAGGTGATATGGTAACAGTGGCGCCAAACCACGGTCAAGGACGCTGCGAGGAGCGGCCGTCATCTTCCTGCACAAGACACATCCTCTCTTTGGAGGCTAGAGGATGTCGACTTAATCCGATCAGGGGCTGCCAACCTTGACAGTACTCGCTTTACGCCTGTTGCGTCACCTCAGGCTAGGTAGGCTCTTGATACCACTTGCAGTATGAAGAATCTACTATCCATCAGGATACCTTGTATGTCCAATAGCTCTTGGGTCAGGCCATCGCCAACTGCTTACCCCAAGTTCATGGTGAGCTGACCCAGAGGTGAGTTAGTCGGAATTTGTCCACCTACCCTGTATCCCGCCATGTCTGGTCTCCAACGGCCCGTTCCGTCCTGTGACTGTCTCGTCCGTGGTCTTGCATTTTTCATCCCGTCGGACCTCGACTTTGAGCAAATTAACTGTGCAGCCCGCGAGTATGACTATCGCGGCGAGTCTCGGCTGACAAGAGAGCGGCTAGATGCCGCGGGCCTCATCGCAAATGCGGGGTCTGGGGCATTTGGTCATTCGACCCCAACTCATGTTATACGAGGATGTCGCCGTCAGGACAGCGGAAGGAGGAACAGTGGCATGAGGACTGGTTCATCTCGGCATCCACTGTGCCAACTGTCATCCCCTCTCGAGAGCGACGGGTCAATCATCTGGTGGCGCTTCGCGAGCCCGGCTTCGTAACGGGACAATGAGGCGGGAGTGGACAGCGGCAAGAAACAACTGGACGGTATCCCCCATGGCCAGCGAGCTGGTGCCGAGCACATGACAGCTGGGGATAGCAACTGTGTCCTTGTGATGCCCAGTCTAGCGCGGAGACACATCGAGTGCCCCTTGGCGTAAATATAACCAGCCATTGCTCTTTCAACCCCTCCCCCTTCCCTTACCTCATCCTGGTCCTTTTCGATTTACTTTTTCAAAATGCGGAACCTCTCCGCCCTGTCTGCCTTGGGACAGGCTTGTGAGGGTGAAGGAAAGGGTGTGGGAGACGGGGCGGCGAGGGGGGGGGGTGAGCTGCCCTCATCCATGCCCAACGCTTCTTGTTGCTCGCTTCACAAACCGAATATCATCGGGCGCCTGCACTCTGGCCAGCCCTGGCACCGTGGGGAGTGAAGCGGCGGACCCGACAGTTTGGGAAGTCGTACCATGTTCTGACCGTTTCTGGACCCTGTCAAGCTACGAGGCCGCTCCATGTGACAGGTCTGCTTCTGCCGACATCCTCTGACTCTCTCTGGGCCTTTGGGGCGAAGGGGATGTCTTAGGCACATCCGCAGACACGATAGCGCGGCGGGGGGGAGGGAGACTTGTAGGGCCTGCCGGCTCATTGGAACGGACGCGGGTTGGCGGGTGAGGTGAGCATGATAGGGGGTGTGGATGGGTGTGGAGACGACAGGGCTGGTGCCTTTCCCGGACGGCAGCTCTTGGGTCGACGATGTTAGATGACTGGTTACTGGAAGCTTCACCGGTCCATCAGGGGGGCAAATGGGGGTAAGATGATGGCACCGTTAGGCCTGATATGGCGGCCACATGTTCTTGCCGGCCCTTGCCTAGTCCCGACTGAGATAGTCGAGGTTTCTCCTTGGTTCGAGGACGGGGCTAGAGGAATAAGGACGGACCAAGGTAAGAAAAGAAAAACCATGGCGCAAGCTCTAGACGTTTTCTGCTCTGCCCTGTCGGCGTCACTCGGTGATAGCCAGCCCGCCGGCGCCAACGATCAGCTCCCCCTCAGGGCTGAATGAGGGAAGCTGTGATTTGAACCCATGAACCATGGCCCTGTGCTTCCCCCTCCCCATCTTTTCCTCTCCTCTCAGCCCGTTGTTTTGTTTTGTCAAGATCGATCGACCCGCAACCTGGGGATGGGACGCCGTCTCCATGGACTGACTTGCCAGGGCAGCTGTATGTCTCCGCAGATACACCGTAATTGCACAAAACGCGAGTCGTTAGGTTGCACGTCCTGTTCCTTCGGTGAGTACTTCATCCGGCGGATGCCTTCAGGGCATCGATCCGCCATTTTCAGCCGTTCCAGACTGTTGGAACAAGGGGGTTGAAATACGTGAATACGTGCCGGGGGCGGGGGCAGATGATACAGGATACTGGGATGCTTCTGCTGTTTATCGTGATTCCCTCTTTTCCCACGTGGGAACAAACGCCCGGCTGGGCAAAGGCATGAGGACTGGAGTTTGGTGAGATGAGGCAGGTTGTTGGGATGCGTCTGTGTTGTATGGTGTCACAGCTCTTGGGATGAGACTGTTGTCCCTGTCGACGTTTCGTCGGTAGTTGTCTGCGTCCGCTGCTTCTTTGCACAATGATAGCAAAGGAACGGCAAGGAGACTTAGATGGCGGGGCAAAGGCACTTGGATTCATGAAGCCACCGGCCCGTTTTCTAGAGACACCTCTTTGCCGCCATGCTTCGAACAGGACCCAGCCTCCGGTGGTAAGGGGGGCTCTGTTTTCGTATTCGTTGAGCTAGAGGAACTTGAGAGTTCTGGATGTATTCCTCCACGCTGAACTCTTTCCCGTCCAGCTCGCCTGGTAATGACTTACGCGTTCCTGACGATACCCCTCCCTTTGGTTCTGACAGCTCAGAACACACAGAAAGAGGCAAAAGAGGCGGCCAAGCTAGTGGAACTTGAATATAACCCAAGTACGACGTGTTTCGTACAGCGGCATATGTACACTAGAGCCTAGAGCCAGCCTCACCCAGAGCTACAGTGAAGAAGACGATGGTGGGAGGGGTGTCCTGTCTGTCAACCTCAAGGGGGGAGGGGGGTTAAGGCGACGGCGAACAAAGTCGACACGGAAAAGGGCCCCGCAAGCACACACACACCCACCTATGCATGTACGAGCGTCCGCTATGGATGATGGATGCCGCGCAGCTCAAGTGGCACCCCCTAGTCACATGCCCGGCGAGCCATGCGTGCGTGCGCGTCCTGGCATCGTCTGCGGGCGAGGCTTGCTGCAGACGCTGCCCTGGATGTGTATGTGCACGATGCCTCGCTCAAGCGTTTTCGATAGAAGCGGATATAAATATATACGCTCGAGCAGAGAGGCGTCATGAGTCACAAGATGGCGTCGATTCATTTCCCAGAGTCTCGGGTCCGGGCACGCAATACCGCAGGGGTCGTCTTTATTTGCCACGCTGGGGAAATAAAACGTTTATTGCGACGGGGCCAAGCTTGCTGTTTTCTTTTTTCTTTGTCAGTCACTTGCCTCGGCCTTTCTTTTTGCTACCGAGTTTGATTCGAATGCCATCGTCCTCTTTTAGGTGTCGTGGCAGTACCGCATGAGACATGGGGGGAGAAACCATGATGAAAGGGGCGAGACCTGGTTTCTTTTTCCACGCCTCGTCTTTCTTTCCAATATACTTGAATCTTTGATAAGCCTGCCGGCGGCGTCAGAATATGCGCTGCCTGCAGGAACGTGAAAGAGGAAGAGGCGAGCAGTGAATTCATTAGACAGCGGCGGAACCGCGGATCGGATCCTCCCAGGGAAGAGACACCCTCTGTCTGAATGTGCGGTGCGGCCGGTGCTGATTCCTCTATGCAGAGATGGCTTGCGTCGGCTGGCATCACAAGGTTTGATATCCAGCATCTAACAAGCAGCCCGGCGAGCAGGCTCCCGACTACGTACGCCATCTCAACGTCCTGGCCTTTTTCCTCTGACTGGGTTAAGTTAACTATTGCTCATGGACCACATGAATGTCTGGACCTTGTAAGCAGTCATTGTTACCTGGTCTCCGCTCACCAACGTGAAGCCTACAAACTTGCTCCTTTCTTTTTGCCCATTAGGGATTATCCATGCTGGCTCAGCACAAAAACGCACGCCCTCCCTGTCTAGCTCTGCAAAGATCCCAAGTCCTCATCGCTGCAGACGCTCATTTGTGAGCCAACTTGCAAATGTACTTGAGCGAATAGGGTTAAGAGGATATGTTTTGTGCAGTAGCGCTTGCTGGAGAGCTCGAATGGAAGCCTCCCCCTTTCTCCACGCCCCTTAACCTTGCAACTTTCTCTCTTCTTCCTTTCTTAATCCCTTCTTATCTTCTCTTGTACTGGTACTTGGTGCCCCTTTGTGACTGATCCCCAACGTGCGACATCAATTCCCGAGGCCCATGCCCGGGCGGTTTGGATGCACGACGAAGCCATACAGGCTGCGTGGACGTCCCGTGCCACGTCCGGGATGTCAAGGGGTTGGTAGGAAAACGACAGAAAAATATCCATGCCCACTGCGTACGTGGCTCGCGGTACGGATACGCACGAGTCCCCTTGCCATCCGCGTGTGTGAGAGTGTGTGTGCGCGTAACAAGGTGCCGCAGCAAGGCAAGCAAGCGGCCATCTCCATGTGCTGTCAGCTGTGTCATTCGCGTGCATCTCAGCTGCGTCAGGTGATGATTGTTCACCTCGACTGCAAGAGCTGCAAGAGTGACCGCGTTTGCACGTTTCCTTGTCGGCTTTTGAGCCAATCTTCTCCAACACCCACTCGGCCACCACCTGTCTCGCCATCCATGTCCAGTAGAGTCTCAGACCTCAGAATACAGCAAAAGCACGCTCGAGCATATGCACAAGGGGGAATTCCGGGTTTTCGGGTTATCGACAAGGATGCTTGGCTGCATCGCCATGCTTCATCGTTGTCCCGCGGAGCTGGATGCTGGGTTGGCCTTCTCCACGGCCTCGTGCTTTCGATTACGGCAGTAAAAGCGCAAGCGTTGTTGTCTCTTCT